CTCCTCCACTGACTTGGGGGTCTGCGGAGCTGTTCTCACATCTTGCACTCTCTCTCTGCCTGCAAAATACCCCCCTCTTCAGTCTTTTTTCCCCCCTACCCAAACCCGTTACCCCACCACCATCGCTGATGGGCTCAGCCTTGGCCGGTGGCCGGTCCGTCTTGGAGCTGGCTGGTATTGGCTCCATTGGACATAAGGGGAGGCTTCCAGCAGCTTCTCACAGAAGCCTCCCCTGTAGCCCCCCTGCTACCAAAACCTTGCTACACAAACCCAGTGCAGGCTTTTAGGTTACCTTCTTTGTTTTTTGGCAGATCAGTCTGTTGTATCTTAAGCAATTGAATTATGCTAAAATTCAAGTCTGGTTTGCTGTCTCTTCCATGTCTCTAAAATAAATCATGTTTCATAAAAGGACTTTTCTTGATTTGCTGAAAGGAGGCACAAGAATTCTGAAATTAATCATTTCATTCTTGTGTTACAAAGCTGTTATGCACACAGCCAATTTTAGGGGAAAATTACGACTGGTACATAGAATATATTGCTTACTGGAATTAAATTAGTCATTCTCTAGAAGGTGAATGTAATCTACACTGCTCAGCATGAGATCATCTGCACAGCATTACTTGTTGAACTGGTCATTTAAAGATCAGTTTCCTGTTAATTTGAGTAAAATTACTCTTACAATTAATAATTCCAGGATCAGATGCGCTTTTTTTAAGCTTTATTCTGTCAGTGACAACTAGTATGGACAGAAATTTAGAGAAATATAAGTAATAGACCACTGTTTAAATAAATGGAACCAACATACTTTGCTATATTCAGTAAAATTACTGATTCTTTTCCATATATTGTGCTACCCTGCGTGAGAAAAGTCATTGAAATACGTACTGTGCCTTCACCAGCAAAGTAGATAAAAATTCAGTAGCTGAGTGTGCAGCTGAGACTGGAAAATAATCTAGATGAACAAACAGTGCATCTTCATTAATAAAATCTGTTTAATATAGATAATATGCCATGTATCTTAATTATTAAACAGATACATGGATTAGCACAGTAGGCCACAACTTGATCTGGAAAATATGCAGCTAAACCTGTGATATGTAGCTGGGTAAGCAAATAATGCAAAATTATACAGCTATCACAAACTGCATAAAATATTAATTTATAAAATAAATCAGCCATTTGCAGTTTGATTATTAAAGAAGGTAAATGCTTGCTGAACTAAGTACACTCTCTTTTCCTTCCCCCACCAAGTGTGTCTTAGAATTTAGTAACACAATTCTTCCCCTTTTTTCCTAATGCCTGCCTAATTATTTCATGCTCAGGTAGTTTAGAGAACTACATATTTAGACTGAAAAAAAAAAAGTGAACAGGTATTTAGTTGGGTTGGTAGGTTTGCTTTGGGGTTTTTTTTATTAGTGACCTCAGAATGGAGTCACTGGTCTTTATTTTGGAATTGATTACGGGCTAAACAGAGCTGCATCTTAATTTGATCATGCATGTTGTGACACAAGGCTGCAGATAAAGAAAATGCAAAGTAGGGGTTTAGATCCAGGCAATTCTAATGGTTATTTGTGTAGGTAGTCTGACATAAATAGGCTTACAGAGATCTTGCAGATGAGTGTGTCTATTTTTCATGCTTTGTCAGTTAAGACAAAAAAACCACACACCACCACACAAATGCGCATCCACAAATATTTTCTATACCTGTTTGCATGAATACAAACTCATATTGTGTGAACACAAACTGATATTAGATTTTCTTGAGTGATCTGTGGAATGTTATTTGGTGTGATACATGGTACGAATATGTCTGTCTTGGTTGCTGTAATGCCAGAAAAACAAAAGCTTCATGTTACTTCTCTGTGTAAGCACATTTCCCCAGAGTCGCATACTTGCATGCATGTTTCATTAGTCTCACGTTTGTCTTTTCCCATTGCATTTATGTAGCTGTGATCCCTTTTTTTTTCCTTTATTTTTATGTAACTAGTAATGCTCTTGTTGTGCAGTCATTGACACTGACCTAGTATCGACTTTTGTCCCTACATCTCCCTATGTTCTCGTCGAGAATTTCCACTGCCTTCCTGTGCCAGCAATAGTATTTGTGCTGCACCTCATGAACCAGGACAAAAAATAATCTGTTTTTCTTGCCAGCTGATCTGACTCACCATGTGAACAGATTCCGGTACAAGAACGGCAGTAAGCAATGTATGGTTGGGCAGTAAGGCTGGTGCCCATTAAGCATGTTTCTGCCATAGCCTACCATTAACCTGTAAGTCTCTCTGTAAATCTTGTAGTGTAAACCCAAGACATGGAAGTGTTTATGTTGTTTTCTTAGACTTCAAAAATAGAGCAGCTGTTGAAGTTAGTGTTTATTTGTACTAATTTTAGACTCTAGTTGAGAGACACTGTTGCTAGAGGGACGATGAGAAACCTGAGTTGCTTCTCTGGAGCACACTGAACAGTTCTGCACACAAAGTGAGCTATAGATGGAGAATATCTAAGATGCAGACATAAAAAAGCAACAGATGTGGGCAGGCATGCTCATGGAGAGTTTACACACAGATATGCGAGGCAAGGTGATAAACACTGTGCCATTAAAGTTCTCTCCTTTTCAAGGTGAAGATATGTTGGTAGGTTACAGGTATCTAGAACAAGTCAGCTGTACATCACTCAGTATAGCATGGGTCTCTGCAGTGGATCTTGGTGTTCCATCTGTGTGTTTTTTGTTGACAGGAGATGCTCCTTTCCAGTGTCAGATGTGTCCTGCTAAATTTAAAATCAACTCAGACTTGAAGAGGCACTTGCGTGTGCATTCTGGTGAGAAACCTTACAAATGTGAGTTCTGTGAGGTCCGGTGTGCCATGAAAGGAAACTTGAAATCACATATTCGTATCAAGCACAGCATGGAAAATACTCTCAAGTGTCCAGAGTGTGAATTTCAGTGTGGAAATAAAACAAGCCTTCGGCACCACATAAGAACTCATCAGCCCGAGCAGCCAGTGAAGTGCTCAGAGTGCAACTACTCTTGCTCCAACAAGGCAGCTCTGAAAGTGCACGAGCGAATTCACTGCAAAGATCGTCCCTTCAAATGTGAATTCTGCAGCTTTGATACCAAGCAGCGGAGCAACCTGACAACTCATGTGAGGAAAGCTCATGGCGACAAAGTCAAGACCAAGAAGCAAACTGTGGAGAAGAAGGAAGGAGACAGGCCAAAGCAAGGTGGCTCCAGGCAGGTGGCCAGATTGGATGCCAAGAAAGCATTTAAGTGTGACCTGTGTGATGCTTCCTTTGTCCGAGAAGACTCTCTAAGGAGTCATAAGAAGCAGCACAGTATGTATAATGGATCTAAAAATAATGAACTGGCTGTTCTACAGCTCCAGATGGATCCCAGTCGGCAGACCAGTGCCCCAATTACTGTCAGTCATCTCCAGGTCCCACTTCAGGCTGCTCAGGTTTCTCCGTACAATGAGGGAAGGGTCAAGATCATTGTGGGTCACCAGGTCCCTCAGACTAACAGTATCGTTCAAGCTGCGTCAGTGAATGTCGTGCCTCCTACGTTAGTTAGCCAGAATCAGGAAGACCTCTCGGCCAACAGCCGCTTGCAGCTGCTGGGCCAAGTCAGTCTGTTGGCACCCCCTCCGCCGCCCATCTCTCAAAGCGAAGCAGGGCCTGTGGCACAACCAGCAGTTCTCCTCACGACCCATGACCAAAGTGATGGAAGCACTTTACATCAGACTCTGATTCCTGCTTCCTGCGGCTCCTGTCAGCGGTCATGAGGCTTCAGCAAACCAGGCTTTCATCACCGGCTCTGGAATCAGCTGCTCCGACTTGGAAGGCCTTAATGCTTTGATACAGGAAGGAGCAACAGAAGTGACTGTGGTTAGTGATGGAGGTCAGAGCATAACAGTGTCCACTTCAGCTCCCCCTCCTCCTATATTTTCTTCATCCTCTCACACAGAGGCCCCTAAGCAGACCTATTCTATCATTCAGAGTGGAGCCCATGCAGCTTTGCTGTGTCCAGCAGACTCCATACCAGATTAGTCGCAGAGTGCTATTACTGAACAAATTTCACTCTCAGAAGCAGTGCTGAATTCAGCAGAAATGCATATGACATAAGTGAATGCAGGATTTGTCCTGCAAAGCCAAATACCTTCCACATTTTACTTGTCTGTACATGGATACATACATCTTGTATGTGATTCTGGTATTTGTGCTGGCTAAAATAAGGAAACCTCACCTTACGATGAATGACCTTCACAGCAGACTTGCTCTTTCACACACACATGAAAAGTAATAGTCCAAGCTGCTCTGAAGTTATGTTTTTAGGCAGTCTGTTTCCGTTACATGCTATGTATGCACTAACTGTACCTGGCTGATTGTTGATCTGTAGGAAATGTCTACTACTGGGTCTAATGCAGCCCTAGTAAAGTTTAAGGGGGCTGTTCCTTAATGTCTGTAGAAGTTGCTAGCATCTGGCATATCCGTTAATCTGGAAGTGTTTACACAGAAGATCAGGTGATCATTTTTGGAAAACCGAATAATTTTGCCCGTCCATCAGTAATAATGTAACTTTGTTAGTGAGAATGCTATTGCAAATTATATATATGGCACAGCGATCTCTGTCAGAAGCAACTGTGTTTTAAAGGACAAAACTGCAAATATATTTTTTACAAACACTACTTAAATTTTGTTTTCATTTTGATGCTGCCTGTTTGGAGTTGCACGGGTGGTAAAAGTGCATTGCATCTTGGCTCTGTACTTTCCAAGTTAAAGGGGAAAAAGGAAAAGATTGAATTAGGGAATTTAAAATTCCATTTAAAATAAAAAACCCCATGAATTCTAATCCAAGGTCTGAAACTCTAGCATAAGTTCAGATTGGATTACGGTGAGGTAGTAATTCACCATTACACGATGCACACATCTATAATGAGTGAAATAGTCCTATCTGGTGAGCATTCTTGTTGTGGTAGCTGGTAATATCTTCACTACCAAATTATCTAGTTAAAGAGCAGACTCTCAACTCGGGAAAATAGACAGCTCTGTAGGTGCTGGATCTGCAAAAATCAGAGATCACTTCAAATCCTGACAGCATCCCAAGGACAGTTAGCATACATGAAGACTGAGGAGAGACTGTTACCAAAACAAGCTCTGAGATTCCCTCTTGGGGAATCAAAGTCAAGATAAATTTGGTAGTGGGAGACATTGAATGATTGCTTTATGTGCTAGAAACATGCTTGGAAAACTTAGGGTGGTTATATAATCAGGGCCACTTTCTGAATAGGCCTCGTGTTTGAAATTTTTAGCTTGTACGGCGTTTGTGTATGTGAGGGTGCTCCCTGCTCCTTCCCGATGCGTAGCACGTGCTCTGTGTACAGCGTAAGGCTTCCTGCTGCCCAATGAGGAGTAGGAAAACGCAGTCATAACTCACAAGTACAGTTGTTCAGGATATTCTTGAAAATGAGACCTTTTGTTTTTGTTGAAATAAGGGTGATTTGAACTCGAACGCTCCAGTGTCGTCATCTTCATTATTTATGGAAAATAGTATTTTTGATGATCTGTCTCTCTTCTACCTTCCTAATCCTTGTTTCTAAATTAATGTTCTTTTAAAACAATGAAACCCTTCCTAAGAATATTGTTTTTAAAATCTGGGGTTTGATTTGAGCTGTCTGCCAGTGCGTCTGACACTTGTGGGTGTCAGAAACGACCACACTCAGTTACATGGGGGAAACTTCATAAATGCTTATTTAAAAAGGCACTATTAAAGACTTGTTTCCTAGCCCCATGCTGATGTGAAATACGCAGTAAAAGTTCTGAGTTCACTGACAGTTGTATTTCAGGGTTTATTATTTCCTACGCTTGTTCTCCAACTTTTCTGATGATACAGGTTTGTCACCTGTTAATTATCTCTTCCCGACAGATAGGTGATTGAAGGAGCTGACAAGACCCGGTTCCAAGTCACCGAGCACACCTATTTTTATATAAATCAGAAGTAGGCGAGAGGTTTTTACTACATTGGGTTGCTGCAAAACATTCATTGAGAACAATAGATTGAATGCCTAGATACTTTGAATTTTAACGCTGGCGTTGCTGTTTTGTGGCTCTCCAGTCACGTTTCATTACTGTGCTTACAGCACAGACCTGGTACTGGTAAAGCACTCGGAAGATAAAAGGCATCACAGGTAAGTGCTTGATCTTATTATATGTGGGCCCTGATATCCGGGTAGTAAATGATCACTGGAGCAACATAGATCAAACACTTTGTAATCTTTGCATTAAAATGTGTGACATAGTAGCAATTCTTCACTATTAACCCACCTCCAGATGTACATGTACCTATGTGCATGATGTGTGCCATCAGGCTGTGTACAGTGTTTCTGTGCACTGGGCCAATAGTTATTTAAACAGTAGTGAAAGATGAGGCCCTTCCAGTCCTGTAACAGTAAATACACATTTTTTACTCAGCTTACAGAGTTTGTAGACTGTGTGCAGCGCTAGCGTTGCCGGAGGGGAGATGCTTCCCCAGGAGCGCCAAGTGCCGGGCAGGGCTGAGCTGCCCAGGCTGTGGCATGTGCTGATGGGCTGCAAGAGAGCAAGTTTGGGGAAGGCTCGCAGCAGTTGGAGTCCAAGTCTGTTTGACCTGGAGAGGGAGGGAGGCTCCTTCAGGTCATCTCAGTAGTCTGGTTTACAGCACTGTACCAGCGTAGCAAAGTACGTGGTGAACAACAACCAACATCAAAACAGAGATGGAGCAGGAGGGAAATTTTTGCCAACTCCTTTTGTAGTAACTGTGATATGGAGGGACACAAATGGTGATAGAAATATCTTTTAAAATACCCTCAGCTTTCACCACTTGTGCTATGCCTTTGAACAGGGTTAACTAGTCCACTGGTGATCCAAGTTTTAATACCAGTTACTATATATTTTCCTTTATTGTAAGACAAAAGAATCTAAGTGGATCTGCCATCACATGCTTTGTTTTCTCACTGGTAAGTCTGCCTCTGTATCTGCTTGCTCACAAGCCATCTTCCCAGTATTTCCTGCTGGAATTTTATGAAGCCTGGTGATCTGAAGGTTAATTACGTTTTCATTATTACAAGCTGCGTGGGCACAGAATTCAAGTATCCCAACCGAGGAGCTTGCATGTCAGGAGTCCCCAGTGATGGAGCTTTCCAAGTGCTCCAGCTGGACAAGAAACTTCTGCCTGGGCCATGGGGCAAGAGCTGGTGGACGTGTGCTGCTCTGGGGTTAGAGCTGGTGGCTCTGTGTCACTACAAAAGGCATGGTGCTCTATTTTGAGATAAAATTTTGGAGGTAGGTGGACTAGCTGGTGATTGGCAAGCTCTCGGGTGCAGAAGATCGTACCGAGCCCGAAGACTTGTGAGTGCAAATGGACTGCAATTTGGCAATTGAAAAGCAACATTAACTTTCATATACTCGTTGGTATAAAGGAGCTCTGCGAGCGGGGTTTCGTGAGGGTGAAGTGTTTGGTATGATCTATAGGTGGTGCCGGAGAACCAGATAAACTTCTGCGTGGGGTCTGTTCTGCTCAGTGATCTGTTTCTTGTTAAACAGTTCCCTGCTTTTAGCTCTCCCGGGTAAAAACATCTCAAAATCTACTTGTATGAGAATTTACACAAAGCTTAGCATAAAACTCTTACTTTCATTTAAGATAAAAAGCAAAAATAAATCTTTTAAGTCCAATATTTTCTTGTGTTAAAATGCTGCGATACAGCTTTATGGCCAGAATGTAATCTCCCAGTTTACGTTAAACCGATCATTTGTGACTCCCTGTTAATTTATTTTAATCTGTAGGTAGTTTGCAGCTGCAGAATTGGCATGCAATGCAAGAATGACACAAAATGAGAGGTTTTGCCGAAGCTGATGGTTTGAATTGCCATTTACCTCTGTTTGCACTTGGCCAACAGACCTGCACCCAGGGGATGCACCCCCACGTCCAGGAATCTCATGTTCAATCTGATGTCACACTTAACGTTACACAGCTCTGTTATCTGCATTTCAGCTTCACAAAAAGCCTTGTTTACCTTCTAAAATAGGAAACCAGTAGACTTATATTGTAAAGACTAACCTCCATGCTGGTCCTCTGTGTGCCTGTAAGATAAACAGGAAAGATAACAAAATGGTGTGAATGAATAGCCAAGGCTTAGGGCTGCTTCTTCAACATTGTTTAGCTGATTGCATTATGTTTAAGTGAACAACCTAGAGACTTCTTTCCTCCACCCCAGAGAACACCAAAAACTGATAACCATGGCTAATGTGGGGAATCTTTTTAACTTTCTGTTCCAGTATTGTCGCTCTGTTTCTGTGTGTGGCAGTAGCGGTCTTTGGAGCTGGCAGAAGCAGTTTTAATCTCTGATATTCATTTAATATGTTTTTCATCTTATCAACAACTGTCCCCTGAGAGAGCATGGTCATTCGTAACGAGTGTCTCCTTGCTCTGGAGCACGAGGTAGATAAATCATACACCTTCCTAGAGCTCTGCCCTAGCCTCTGCTCTGCAGCAAGTTGTCTCTTTCCAGGAGAAAATACTTGGATGGATTTTGTTCTTGCCTGGGGATGTCCAAGCCCTCCCTGGGTGGGACTGAGCCCCGTGGTGCCTGTGTGGCACCGAGGGAGCGCGTCTCGCTTAGCTGGCTTGTTACAAAACGGATGGTGTTTACACTGCGCTGAGCTGGCTCTGAGAGGACCATGTAAAACTCAATATTCCACAGTTAGCTCCCCTCGATGCACTCATTGCAGGTTTTGCTCCTAGCAGTTTCCTGCTTTTTACACATTTTTTTTTCTTGCGGAGTCCCGTTTGCCAGTTAGAGCGTGCGGTGTTGGGCTGTTCTGTGAACACCAAGCTCTGTGCTGCTTGAAGAAATCAGGTTAAACGGAGCAAGAACGGTGGCCGTAGCACTAAGCAAGCGGTGGTGCGTGGCATGTATGCATTTCAAATAAAGCCATCCCCCCGCTCTTGAGTCCTTCCCAACCTTTTTTTGATGTTGTTACTCCCTGGTACTGCTTTTTAAAAACAGACCCAAGCATCACATGAACAGAGGCTTATCCTCTTCAAGACCTACCACTTTTCTCTCTGTGAGGTAGAAACATGCAGCAGGGGAAAAAAAAAAAATCTAAAGTTCAAGGAAAAATTTGTCTTTAACACCTTTAATTGCGTGTTGGTGTGCGGTTATC